TACACAAAAGCCTGGGAACATTACAATTGAATAGAAATACATACATAACACTACAGAAGGCCACTATATTGAATACATGCCATATTGTTAGGAAATTCTTGAATACAGATACTGACACACACATTTAATTTTAGTTTTGTTTTGGTTGCTATGCCTTGACTCAGGTCAGGCATAGTACACAGCCACCGGTTTAAACCGAGTATAACCCACTAAACCCAACATAATAATAATAATAATAATAATAAATTCCGTCTTCATTGGCAGCATGTACAATGTCTGAATGACCTTGAATGGACGCCCCATAAATCCACAATGTTGAATTGATAAAGCCGAAAACGAAACTGCTTCTTGGGCATGAAAACTTTCTTTATAAACACGTAATAAGGTAAACGATTTCGAATGAAACATTATGTTTGCTGGTCACTGGACCAGATAATGACTTTGTACTCGGTTTGGTTGTATATTTGGTCACCTCAGAGTAAGTGGGCCTTCATGTAGAAGTAATGCTTTCCACTTGACAAGAATGCATTTCCTCTATAATCCCTATATTTTGGCTTTGTTCTCGCTTATCTGAAGCCTCTCCTCCTTCTTGATGTTATTATTCGTGAGTTCCGGGCATAGATCCAAAATGTGGCCATGTTGGTAGCCGGCTTCCTATAAAATAGAGTCCTCCAAAGGCTCCAGGAAAACAGAAGGCATGGGTGGGGTAAACGACATTATGAGCCCAAAATAAGCGAGAAAGACCCAATAATACCCGAAAAAGTCGCAAAACAAAGAAAAAGTGCCCGAAAATGTCGGAAAACCTGGGCTTGCAGGCCGAGAAACAGATAACGGTAAGCGAAAGCAGAGGCCGTAACAGCGATAAAAAGAATACCGTGTCGAAGTATACAGGAACCGAACGAATTCGGGTCGGTTAGGGAGAAAACAGAACAAAGACTATTGTTCCCGAGCGAAAAGTAAATGTCAATAACTCCAAAAATACACGCACTACAGACAGGAATTTTACGTGAGACTAGGGAGGACGTATTTCACGTGAAACCCAAAGGTCGCCCGCTAAGCAAAGATGGAAGCCTGCGGTGGAGCCACAAAAGTGAAAATTTTGAACTCCAATAAAATACCGAAAAATAGGCGAGCGCGTTAGCAAAATATACACCGTATTAGCGTAAAACAGCTAATACAGTGTTTGAAACGAAATAAAATAACCCGCCATACGAGCAAAAAACAAAGCCGAAAGACGACCATGTGAGCCAAAAAGTAAAAGGCCTATAAAAGAAAAACTAACTAACGACATTTAAAATGCGAGACACCAAACGAATCAACATTAAAAGCGGAGCATAGACCACTTACGTGCGAAGCGTGGACCAAAAAAATCGTCGTGAAAATATAAAGCGAATTTCTAGCACACATACTCAGTCTCCCCTTGAAATACTCGACTTTACCAGACAGCAAATCTCTAGCCGAAATCTTTTTCCGATGCAAGACTCGAACGTCTCGCGATTTATTGTTGCTGCCAAAATATCCAACACGGCTCGACATGAAAATGAAAAGGAAATTCAACCGCAAGCATTGAGCTCAGGAGCGAAATTTCGCCAACTAAAGTGTCGTCTTCGTACGATATTGAAGCTCTCGAGATTGGCAGCTGGGAACAGTAAAGCGTAAAATCGGACACAACGTATACAAAGTGGAAATGACCAACGGATCGTCTTCGCGATTTCACAGTAACCAACTCATACGAAGACAATCTTCTCGACCACAGCCTAAGAGTGACCCCTTCGCTGTCATCGTGAAAACCTTCTTCACTCCACTATGTCCCGCTCCGCCTCCAGAATTTGCTCATCTGGTTAAGAGACCGGCCCAGCAGGACGACGAGTCTCTGCTGTTTGAGAGATCACTCGTTGTCGAAGAAATGTTACCCGAGAATTTAGCATCACAGCCATCGCGTCGATCAGCCTGCTCTCGGATCACGACCAGACAGCTTTAAATCAACTCTTCTGGAAAAAACTATTACACTGCATTAACCGCCAATTCGATCGGTTTTTCCATCTTAATGACGCACGATTAACAATTAATTAATTTTTAATGGGAGTTTGATATCAAATTTCATTCATGGTTCTAAAGTTGTAGTGTACGAATTTTCCTTCGGTAAAGTTATTTAAAGCTAGTTTCTGATGTCAAAAACGACATCTAATAGTTTATTAATTTTTTAAATTAATATATTTTATTACATANATCTTAATGACGCACGATTAACAATTAATTAATTTTTAATGGGAGTTTGATATCAAATTTCATTCATGGTTCTAAAGTTGTAGTGTACGAATTTTCCTTCGGTAAAGTTATTTAAAGCTAGTTTCTGATGTCAAAAACGACATCTAATAGTTTATTAATTTTTTAAATTAATATATTTTATTACATGTACGTTTAATTAAGTCGGGGGATCGGAAATCGCCATTAAAATTTGAATTGTTTAAAAATATTTAAAATTATACAACCAGCTAGTATTTACCCTACTATAAACCCTTCGCCTCTGGAGACTTCTATAAGAATGTCCCGGGAAATCCAACACCAGCTGTTCTCAAGATCATCCAGCTGTAAACACAATGACTCATCTGCGTTAGATTTCGCAGAAAGGCGAGACAATGGAAAATAAACTTTGAAGCTTTTTCTTCAAAATTAACGCATTTCTTTCGTTTTTTTTTCAGTTTTAAGTATTTTTTACGTTTAATTACATTAATATCAAAAATTAGTAAAGTCCCAAGGAGTTAAGATCCTAACAGTTTCATATTCGTATTTTGTAGATGATTATTTACTTTGTATAGTGTTTATTTTGATGTACAGGATTGTGGAAACTAAAGAGATATAAAGATTGTCCCAAACTATGAAAATTTGAGAGAACATTGTAGAAAGAAGGATTAGGCAGGAATCTGAAATTGGAGAGGAACAGTTTGGCTTTATGCCAGGAAGGGGTGCGACTGTTACTATCTTTGCTTTGAAACAGCTGATGGAAAGGCACAGGTAAATGCAGGAAGATTTGTACATAGTATTCATAGATCTGGAAAAGGTGTCTAATAGGTTACCAAGGCAAGAGATATGGAGATGTTTGAGGGAAAAGAATGTTCCAGATTAGTATGTTAGGCTCATCGAAGAAATGTACGAAGGAGCAGAGACTCAAGTTAAGAATAGCGGGGGCACTACAGAACAATTCCCCGTTAATGTCGGTTTACATCAGGGATCGGCCGTTAGACCTTATCTCTTTGACCTGATAATGGACATGGTTTGTGACGTGAAGTGTCATGCACCGTGGAGTATGCTGTTCGCGGATGATATTGTGCTCAAACTAAGATTGACAGAAAACTGGAAGAATGCAGAAAAGTTTTGAACGAAAGAAGCATGAGGATTAGCAGAACTACAACAGCTTATGTGACTCAGAATGGCAGCGATGAGTGCAATATCAAAATTTTCATGGTTTAAAGTTTCAAATATCTAGGGGCCTTTGTCAAGGTGGGAGGGAGATTGAACGCAGAAGTGCAACATAGAATTCAATGTGGATGGTTGAACTGGAGGAAGTTGAGCGGTGTGTTATGACAAGAAAGTTAGCTGCAAACTGAAAGGTAAATTGTACAAATCAGTTGTTATATCTGCAATGTTGTATGGGGGTGAGACATGGGTAATCACAAGAACCTAAGAAAGAAAGATGGAGGTGGCAAAGATGAGAATGTTGAAATAGATGTGTGGAGTGTCAAGGAAAAATAGAATAAGAAACGAATTTATTAGAAGTTAAGGTGGGTTTCTTGCAGTGGCGTGCCGTCATTAGAAGCGGTGGATGCGCGCTTCCCTCGTATTTTCTGAAAAATAAATACATTTTAATAAAACATAAAATTCATCTGGATACGAGTCCAAGTTTACTTGCCATGTCTAATCACCAGGAACAACTATTTCCATTGCAGAGACAACCTTTCTTTAGAGGCTATGCCTCTGCACGAATATGTAAAACAGTTTAAAATGTCCACAGGTGACAATCCCAACACAATTAAAAATATAATATTTGTTTGTAGAAATGGGCTGGCA